CCACAGTGATATACATGCACCTATGTTTATAGCAGCACAATTTGTAGTCCCCAGATCTTGGAAACAACCCAAGTGTCCATTAACTGAGAAATGGATAAAAAAGTTGTGGTATTTTTATACAATGGAGTACTACTCAGCTATAAAGAAGGATCACATTGAGATATTTATAAATAAATGGATGCAGCTTGAGACCATATTCATAAGTGAAATAAATCAAACTCACATGTATGAATACTGAAGTTACCCTACTGTAAGAAATGATTGAAATATATAAAAGAATATGGTAATCATGATTTCCCATTATGTGGCTTTGAAGCCTTAAAAAGTTTTCACTCATTAATTGGAATGGCTTTATTCTGGGCTGTTTGATATATTACCTGTGATGATATGAACAGATATTTTGAAGAAAACAAGACATCATAATAACTAGTGCTAATTTAATATTATCTTGTTTTGAAATCCCACCAAACTGTTTCTCTTCTGTCTCCATTGGTTTTATCATGTTGTATCTTACTGGATTTTATTATATGTGATAGTATAAACAAAAATTTTTATAGGCAAAGAGAAAATATAGAAACCATTGTTTGTTTCCTGTTAGCTGGTTCTAAATACCCTGTTATACTTTCATCCTCTTGAATGGTTTCACACTGTCTTGAAATGTTTGATGCTATAGTATACGAAATTATATTCAAATACTTCAAGGAAAGAGACACTATGGTAACTACTATTAAGTTGGGTTATCTTGTGGTGAAGCACTAGGTTGCTGCAATCGTCATGCTTTGACCTGTATTGTTAGGTTGTTATGTCCTCTTTTATCTCAATCTCCCCCTTTTTCATAAAAAAAAAAATGATTTTTATTATTATTTTTTTAATTAAGGGAAAAAATCAAAATTAGCAGGATATATTATAGTAACTTTTTTGATTTCCTATTAACTTTATTTGAAGCCCTGTATTACTCCCACTATCTTGTTTTGACTGATTATACTCTGTTTCATTCTGTTTGATAGTATCAAGTTTGAGGGTATAGGCAACTACTTTGAAGGCACTAAGATTCACTATGATGTCCACTCTGGTTTGACTATTTTCTTCTTTTGAAGTCCTGTAATGTTTCCAATGTTTAGGTTTTATTGGTCTTGTTCTGTACTGTTTTGTTCAATTTTATTATACCTAATGATATAGGCAATTCTTTTTAAGGAATCAAGAGGCATTATGGTAACCATTGTTGATAACTCAGTATTCTGTTTTTACATCATGTGCTATGTCTATGCCTCGTTTTGAATGATTGCTTTGTTTTGTCATATTTGGTTTTATTCTCTTCCAAAAAAAATAATAAAGCTATGGGAGTAATAAAACCAAAGTGTGTACATTTTGTTGTAAAAAAGAGAGGAAAAAAAGTGCTCTAAAGGATACAACTGCAAGTGTATTTAGGTGTGCTAAGATAGATGACGATATTACTAAGCTCTTGTTGGATCATTGAACACAACTGTTTGCAGTCTCACTGTTTGAATGTTCACTTTGTATGCTTTAATCCTGTAACTTGAACAACTATTTCTAAGATGACAATATATAATCTATTAACTAGTGATTTCTTACCATTTTTTTATAATTCTATATTACTTGTATCCTTATATTGTTTTGGTTTTTTTCCTTTAAATAAATAAAAAAAAATCAGTAACAAATGCTGATGAGGCTATAGGAAAAAAGGAACCCCTTTCCACTGTTGGTGGGAATGTAAATTGGTACAATCATTATGGAAATCAGTATGGAGAGTCCTTTAAAAACTAAAACTAGAGGTTACATTTGATACAGTTGTTCTCCTTCTAAGCATCTTTCCAAAAGAATCAAAAGTAGGGCTTGGGATTTGGCTCAACAGTATAAGCACCTGCCTAACAAGCTTAAGGTCGTGAGCTTGACCGCTGGTACCAAAAAAAAAAAAAGAATCAGAAACTTCATATCTCAGTAATACATGTATATCCATGTTTTTAGCAACACAATCTGTAACAGCTAATTCTTGGAGATAGCCCATATGCCGATAAACAGTTGTATGGATAAAGAAAGTGTGGTTCTATATACTGTGACATACCACTTTGCCATAAAGAAGAATATACTTGAGACATTTTTAGGTAAACAGATGTACCTCACAACCATAATCTTAAATGAAATAAATCAGACATACAGTGTAAATACGGCATTGTTTCACTTATGTGAGAAACCCAAACAATAAATAAGGAGCGTAATTGAGCACAACTACTGTAAAGCAAGACAAATGTTCAAATGGGAAGGGGAAGCAAGGGAAGGTGAAGGGGTCAGAGGAAATTTTTTCTTTTACTTTTAGAAACAGGGTCTTGCTATGTAGTGCAGGCTGGCCTTGAACTCACTTATAGTCCATACTGGCTTTGAATTCATGGCCATCCTCCTGCCTCAGCCTCTCGAGTGCTGGGATTACGGGCATGTGCCACAATACTCAGCAAAAAGAATTTTTAAAAAAGAGAACAGAAGGAAAAGAATGGAAACAAACTTCTGTACATGGAGAGGCAGAAGAAGGGCTGAAGGGAGGCAAGGGGTATGAGAAAGAAGAATTAGGATATATGATGTACAGCTACAAATTTTCTAGTATGAATGTGATTATTATATATAGCAAACATGTACTAATAAAAAATAAAATTAAAAAATAATGTGGCTGTCTCAACAATCTCAACAGACTGGGAGGCTGAGGCAGGAGGCATGCAGGTTCAAGACCAAAATGGACAATTCAGCAACTTAATGACTTGGTAGAATCACCTGTAAACAGTTCATTGAGGACCTAGAAAAGACTTGTGATGCCTGTTAAAACTTTTCAGATCTTCCTTGAGATCATGATGCTAAAGTCAACTGTGAAAAAAAGATGTCCTATGTGCTGTCACACAATCCTGCTAGAAAAATGATACCAAAGAATCCAATTCTATTCAGCCTTTGCTGCTCTAGAAATTAGTACGTTTCAATTGGAACCTTAACATACCCATTCCTCAATTTATGATGGCTTATACACCCCAGTATAGCTATTTTAAGTTGAAAATACCTATGTCAAAATGCATTTAATACAATTAATAATATATAATATTGTAGCCTAGAAATAAAGTACACTATAAGACATTACTGTTTATCCTTGTGATCCTGTGGTTGATAGAACTGTGGCTTGCAGCTGAGTCTCAATTGAGCATGTCATACCACATATTGTCACTCCAAAAAAATAGAAAAATATGAATTTGATATTGTTTTTACTGAATGTGTATTGCTTGGTTGGCATCTATGAACTTGGCTAGTAAATAGCATTCTGAAGCTGGTGTAAAACTGATGAGGCTAACTCACTACACTTAAACTACCTATTTAGACAATGTCGTTTATGTTTCTGGGAGTCTTGAATCTTAATATGTGCTAATGGTAGGTTGCTTACAATAAAATCTAGGGGAACTGAGTGTAAAGGGCTTCCCTGGGCAGAAACATCACTTGGACATATACCTCTCTATTTTCATTGCTGGTAAGATGAGATGGTACAGACAGTAAGCTCTGTGTTACCTCTCATGAGGAAAAGTGTAGAAGAAAACTTTCTCATGGGTACCTCCGAATTTCACCAGTACTTTCCTCTTACAATCCAGATGCATGTCCTTACTGTGGTGGGTATAAAAAAAATCTTAGCTATGCATACAACTATATACCAAATTCTTAAAGTCTTGATGAAGGTGATTCCCAACACAAATATGAGAATTAACTTTTTTAATGTAGCACTTTCCAGGACAATGTCCAAAAATGTGACTTGTCCATTATGAAAATGTTATTCTCTTAAGTGATTTCATGTTAAATTACACTTTCCTTGTATAAAAAATTACTAAGTTCATCACTTTAATTATTCTTTGGTTTCTTCCATTTCAGGGCCATAGGACTTTGAGAATTTGTCTATTATTTTAAATATATTTTTATTAGTGTGTATTAATTTTATAAAATATTGCCTTGTTTTACTTTAAATATCTTAAAGGCCAAAGATAAGCTACACTGAACACCAGATTAACCATTTCAGTATTACTCTTTTTTTTTTTTAATCAGTACTGGGATTGAACTCATGACCACCTGCTTGCAAGGCAGGTTCTTATGCCGTTGAGCTAAATCCCTGGCCCCTGAAGTATTATTCTTGATTATTACTTTGCATCTCTGATCTTGGAATACGTTCAGTAACATTACTCCACCACATGACTATTTAGGCTAAAATTACAAGAATACTTTGACAAAGTTAAATAAAATTCACTAGGCTCATAAAAATATTGAGATAGATAAGTAAATATGAGCGATCCAAAGAGGTTTTTTTTAAAAATATGAAATCTGACTTGATTTGTTCTTTGCTGGTTTTCTTCATTGTTTTATCAAAGTGAATAATTATTCCCAAGGTCTACATTATCCACTGATAATGATAAGTTTCCTTCTAGATTTGTCAAATCAAAAGATGAGTTTAAAAATATAATGAGTTTTTAAGGTCTAAATTTGAAATTCTGTGTCAAAAAATTACCCTTGTATCTTTTCTTGTGCTCGTTTTTACTATGACTGCACCTGAAAAAAAACAAGAGGTTCTAAACTTCAAAGAAGAAGAAACTCATGTTTCTGCTCATACCCATTGGGAAAACCCAGTTTAAGAAAATCTAAATGTTACATGTATAATCACTGTAACTAGGTTCTTCTGTGTAAACCAAAAGTCATTTTAGATAATACAACAGATTTATAGAATGTTTTTTCTTCTGCCTTACATTCATTATACCTAAAACCATGAAAAATTATTCAGTTATATATACACTGATTTTCCAATCCATACACAATCTACCTGTATATGGCTTTTCCAATCCATATACAATATTTTAGCAGGCTGCAAAAATCATTTGTTGACTTAAGGAATCACTTTAGGTCTCAGTTTAAAATATCTACATTTTCTTCACTCATTTTCTTAAAAGTAATAATCTAATTTATCACATACTTACCTTTAAATGATTGCCTGCAGCAGCATCATCTAAGGGCAGAATTCCATCTATACTTTCACAATTAACATCAGCACCAGCTTTTAATAACTCTACAGTTACATCACTGAATTCCTTAAGAGGTGTCCAACCTAAAAAGGAAAAAAGAAAAAAACAAAAGAAAAAGCTGTTCCTTACCATAAATCAATATACATGTAATATCTTTATAACTAAATTTTTTGCACTACAGGAATCTTTATATATATCCTGGAATTGACAAGAAATAATACAGTACTGAAAACCACAGCCTTAAATTGTGTATGTTTCATTTTTAAAAATTTTATATAAAGAGAAAAGAAAGCAAAACAGAAAGAAGGGTAGCAACAATACAGAATTCCAAAAAAAAAAAAAAAACTAAGAAATCACTAGTTGATAAATTATATACTTTCATCTTAGAAATAGTTGTTCAAGTTACAAAATTAAAGCATACAAACTGGACATTCAAACAAGTGAGACTGCAAACAGTTCTGCTCAACAATCCAACAAAAACCTAGTAATATGTTCATCTATCTTACAAACTTAAACATACATACAGTTATATCCCTTATAGCACTTTCTTTTCCTCTCTTTTTACAATAGCAATTGCACATTTTGGGTTTTATTACTCTGACAGTTTTTATTACTTTTTACACTAGAGATACAAGGTGATAGTTATAAATATGATTCTTATTTCACTTATGAGGAGAGTCTCAAGTTGCCTCCATTTGCCTATGAAGGCCTCAAGATCATCCTTTTTATAGCTGAATAATATTCCATTGCATAAAAATACCACATCTTTTTCATCCATTCTGCAGTTGATGGGCATTTTGGTTGTTTCCAGGATTTAGCTATTACAAATTGTGCTGCTATGAACATAGGTATACATATATCACTGTCACACGACCTTTTCAGGTTTTCTAGGCAAATACCCAGAAGGAGAATAGCTGGGTTGAATGGAACTTCCAATCCCAGTCTTCTGAGAATTCTCCATACTGATTTCCATAGTGGTTGCACCAGTCTACATTCCCACCAACAATGGAGCAGTGTTCCTTTTTCTCCGCAGCCTCACCATTTGTTATCGGTTGTTTTCTTGATGGTAGCTATTCTTTCCAGAGTGAAATGAAATCTCAATGCTGTTTTAATTTGCATTTCTTGAATGACCAGAAATGGTGAACATTTCTTCATGTATTTATTTGCCATTTGTATATCTTCATCTGAGAAATATGTTTTCATCTCAGATGCCCGTTTTCGGAGAGGGTGTTTGAATTTGGGGGGTTGATGTTTTTCAATTCTTTTTATGTTCTAGATATAAGTTCTTTGTCTGAGGGGTTGCTGGCTATAATTCTTTCCCATTCTATGGGTTTTCTTTTCACTCTGTTGGTTATTTCTTTGAAGTGCAGAAACTTTTCAATAATATGAGATCTCAGCTGTTGATTCTTTGCAGTGTTTCCCATGCAGTTTGCATTGTGTTCATGAATTCTCTGCCTACCCCTATGTCTCCAAGACTTCTACTCACCTTGTCTTCCAGTAGATTTAGTGTGTTTTAATATGAAGATCTTTGATCCATTTAGACTTTAGTTTTGTGCATAGTGATATGCATGGGTCTAGTTTCAGAATTCAGAGTGTGGAGAGCTAATTTTTCCAATGCCATTTATTTAAGAGGCTATCCTTCTTCCAGTGAACATGCTTAGTCCCTTTGTTAAATATCAGGTGGCTGAACGTCTCTGTAGTTGTGCTGGCATTTTCTAATCTGTTCCATTGATTCTCAGGTCTCTTTCTTTGCCAGTATTATGCTGATTTATCACTGTGGCTTTGCAGTATAGTTTCAAGTCAGGAATTGAGATGTCTCCTGCCTTGCCTTTGGTATTCTAGGTCTCTTTTGTTTCCACGTGAATTTTTAGGAATGTTTTATATAGATCTGTGAGGTATGTCAATGGTATTTTGATTGGAATTACCTTAAATCTGTATAACAGTTTTGGGAGTATGGCCATTTTCATAATAATGGTTCTTCCTAGCCAACAGCAAGGAATATCCTTCCATTTTCATATTTTGTTCAATCTCCTTTTTTGTTTTTTAATTTTTTTATTTTAAAGAGACTAAGATAAAAGAGGACATAACAAAGTAGATCAGAACAGAACAATTTAAACAACACAGTATTTCACCACAAGTCAATATGACATAACAGTATCTACCATCATGCCTCTTTCCTTGAAATAGTTGAGCATATCTTCATATACAATAGTATGAAACATAACAAAATAGTATAAAACTATTAAAGAAAATGAAAGTATTACAGGGCACTCAGAACCAAGTAATAGAAAATGAACAATATTCAATTGAGATCTCAGCCTGCTATACTCAGGTTACTATATTATCTCATGTCCATAAAAATTTGCTTATACTACCACATATAATAAAATCCAATAAGATACTACATGATAGAACCAATGGAAACAGAAGAACAAAAGAATGGTGGGACTCCAAGATGATACTAAATCAGCACTGGCTATTATGTCTTTTTTCTTCAAAATAGCTGTTCATACTATCACAGATAATAAAATCAAACAACCCAGGATAAAACCACTCCAACTAATGAAGGGAAGCATTATAAGGTTCCAGGAAGCTGGGCAGGTACTTAACCACTGTGGGTGATGGTGCAAAGCTCTGCCCGGGCAAGGACCAATGCATTGGAATTCACATTCCCTCAACTCCTCTGAAGAAGGTTGCTGGGTGTAATCTAGTCAGGCCTCAAAATCTCCCCAAGCCTAGTCTAGTGTCACTGGAAGCTGGGCAGATCCTTGACCACTGGAAGCGATGATCTTAAACTCTCCCGGAGCTCAGGATGGTGTGCAGGAACTCACCTCTGCCAGTTGCCCAGTTCCCCAATTGAAAGATCACTGGGTGTGGCCCAGGCAGGTCCGAAAATTGCAGAGCCCAGCCTAGTGTGGCTGGAAGCTGGGTGGTCCTTGGCTACTGAGAGCGATGATCTTAAACTCTCCCAGAGCTCGGGATGGTGTGCAGTAACTCACCCCCGCTGGCAACAGGGATGATTTATTATGAAGAAATAAGGGATGAAGTAAAAAGTGAATAGAAATGAAATGCCAAGTGATCATTTAAGTATTACAGGACTGAAATTTCATGTTTCTATTAAAAAAGACAAAAACTTGAAACACTATCTTTTATTCTCGAAATACGTGAATCACTCATTAAGAACTCAGAAAGTATCAGCATTTTCATGCTGCCTCATCCAGCTGTTTGACTTTTTAAGTCATAGATTGTTCTTGTGGTGTTATCAGTGAATAAAGAAATTGCCTCAAGTGGAGCACAAATTTTTTTAAAAAGCTCCTAATGATATCTCAATTTTGGCACTTATGGCTTCATGAATAAGTTGCTTCTAACTAATAGAATACTTTAATATTAAAAGTATTCCACAGGTTTAACATGTCCTTCCTGTTGTAGACTCGCTCTATTGCATTCAGTTTGTCTGCTTTGATAAAGCAAGCAGCCATGGTAGAGAGGCCCAGGCAGCATCAATAAGGAACTGAGGCCCTCAAGCTAACTATCCTCCAGGAAGTAAGTTCTGTTAACCACCACAAGAGCTTGGAGGTGTACCCTTCCCCAGGCCAGCTTTCAGATGAGACTGGTCCTCATCAACCCCTTGACTGCAGCCTCCTTAAGATTCTGTCAGATGAGCTGGTTAAGCTTTACTCAATTCCTGACTTACCAAAACCATGAGATAATAAATGTATGTTGTTTTAAACTATTAAATTTTTGATAATCTGTTAGGTAGCAACAGAAACAACTAAGATACATACTACATCAGACTCTCTGAGAGTGGGACACAGTAATCAGTTTTTAGACTTTTCAGATGATTTTGATGCAAGTTAAGGTTTGAGAATCATTGCATTGAACCGAGTAGAGTAGCATACACCTGTGGTCCCAGCCACTGAAGAGGCTGAAGCAGAAAAATCTTGGGTTCAAGGATAGCCTAAGTAACATAAATGCCCACCCCATCTCAAAAGAAAAAAAATCCACTGCATTAAACCATAAAAACTTTCTTACTGTATTTCCTAAATGCCGGAAGCTGCAAAAACAATTTTAGGGTAAGAGACAAAAAGATTGGAGGGTTATTCACCAAAGAATGATTGTTGACTCCCAGGGCAGACAATAGCTATCTTCCACTGACACACAGACTCAAACATATGTTTTTTAAAGAGAATTGCATAATTGCATTCATAAATTCTTTACTGGGAAAAGACACACTACACACACACACACACACACACACACACACACACACACAGAAAGACACAGAAAATATATTTTAAAATTATAAAATATCTAACAGTGCAGGTCTTCAGATTACATATTTAAACTGACAAGCTCCCCTAATAATTCTTACTGTTGAGGGCACAAATCCTATTACCTTGTTTCTAGCGTATCTGCAGCAAAGACAATCATGTGATGAAAGATTTTTACAGAAAAAATTTAAAACTATTGAATGTTACTATAATCATAAGTTCCCATAGGATTTAACTAAAATTTTAATATAAAATCTGTCAGAAGCTCAAGAGGAAACAAACAGTACTCACACCATATCCCTTTGTAAAGTGGTTTGGATTCACACTGCACTAATTAAAGACTATGAATCTCATTTTTATTTTTGTTCTGAAATTCTACAATGAAGTATACTGTTCACTGTACTGGATGCTTAATGGGCCTTTCAATATAGAAATGCCTGTCCTTCATTTCTTGTATTATTTCTTTGATGATTTCTTATTTTTATTGTTCTTCTTAGGTTTCCTGGAGTGAGTGGACACCCAATTTTCTTATCCTTCCTGCTTTTCTTTTTTTGTTCTTTATGCAAAGTTCATAAGACCTTACTATCTATCTGTCCCTGTGTATCTCTTCAAATTTATGCTACTTAATATCTAAAAACTCAGTATTGGTCTCTGACTGTTCTTTCTTTTTTGTATCTTTTTTTCCCAAGTTTTTGATATTTCCCAGTCCTCCCATTGTTTCAGTTTTTTCCGAGTGTATTTAGCTTACTTTCACCTTTCTTTCATATTAGTGCTTTTCAAAAATACCTGCTGATTTTGGACTGTTTCTGTACTAATGAGAGACAGTGAAATGCTGACTGGAAACCTGCATCCCTGTAGGTAATGCAACAGAATTCAAAACGTGGTTGGATTCACTGTTGGGTGATAAGGAAATAAATTAACGTCTGTGTTAGGAAATCCTTGGATATCATATCTAAAATTGTTATTTCTGGGTAAGTTCAAGTGGCTTAGTAGAATGACAGAATATAATAAATATTACATTTACATGCAATTAAGTGCATTACTAGAGAAGTATGTCAATTTCTTATGGCACCTGTAACAAATTACAATAAACTGAGTGATTTGAAACAGCAGAAATTCACTGTCACGGTAAGTTTTCTAACCGAAGTCCAAAATCAAGATGTCAGCAGATCTATACACCCTGTAGAAGCTCTAGCAGATTCTTGCATGCTCCTTCCACTCTTAAGGACTGTCGGTATTCCTCTGCTTCCTTGGCTGACCACTAGATCATTCTTTGGTCTCTCTCCTGAGTCTCAAATCTCACTCTACTTTTCTCTTATAATAAGGATATTTGACATTAATATAGGTCTACTGGAATTATCCAGGATGATCTAGCTAATCTCAAGGTATTTAACTTGATTACATATACAAAGATTCTTTTTCCAAAAATGTTAATACCCAGTTTTCACCATATAATATTTAATAGCTCCAGGGTTAGGAAATAGACATGTTCTCAGGGTCATCACTCAGTACACTACAGGATATGTAAGAAGGGCTTCAGTTTACACAAAAGGAGGAAAGCAGAAGGTTCATAGTGAACTAATTGAGCGACTGTCCTACCTCAACACTGTAAATCATCTTTTCATTGCTTACTGTTCAACCTGAAGTGGCCCAGATTTATTTTTCATCATAGAATTAGTTTAAAAAACCTTCAAAGAAGAAATAGCTTCTCATATTGCAAATCATTTGTCTGACACAAAGACTCTAGTGGCAATGCTTATTTAATACTCCTTATGTTAAAATGGTTGAATGCAAGTACCTAAGGAACCTGGGTTAACCACAGTCACTCCTAATGAATAGTCTTGATGTTTCTGCTGTTTATTTTACCTTCTCTAACATAGCAAACATAGAAATATGACAAGAACATATCTAAAGTCTAATAAATTCTCAAGTAATGGCTTAACAAATACAGGTGAGATAATCTTATAACAGTGAGTGATTTTAAAAAACACTGCAACTTCAAAGTTTAGAAATTCTTTCAAGAAGACCTGGTTGTTGGCTTTGACAAAATTTTTACATAAAGAACTATACAAACCTTGGTTACAGGTAGCTTTCAAGAGACCTTTTCTTTTTTTGAAATTCTGGTATTTTTTGTGTTCTTGGGCATTGAGAGACATGTAAATTTCTGAGTCAACTTTTTCTTTTTTATCTAAACAATTTGTTACAATGCTTTCACTTTCATTGATAGCGCTAGTTAATTCCTCACCTGAAAAAAAAATATTGTACAGTATCAGTATTATGGTTATCCTTAATGATCACATGACAGGAAAATTAATATTTTTAGAAATTTGTTTTAAGCTGTACTATTTAAGAGATTGGGAGCCTTTAAAATGTTTTTATACAACAAAGTTTGCTCATTGAAATGCACAGCAGAAATCAATACAGCTAACAATTTACTATGAAAATGTTAAGCTTCCTAATATTAAATAAGTGCTGTTTAGAAAATATGTACAGATTGAGAAATACTACTAATACCTGGTTTGTGAGAAATTTCCTTTTCTTTCTGATTACATCCTGAGACGTCAGTCAATTCTTTATTTATATTGTTAGTGGAACAAACATTTGTATTAGTCATAGGCTCACTCTCTGAAAGATCTTGTCTCTTTCTCTCAACATTAGTTATTTCTATCTCTTGAGAATGAACAACAGTGGAAAAAAGCCTTGCTTTTTCATCTTTGTCACTGTAATGCCTTTCAGTGTCTTCTTTCATTACCTTTTCCATAATATGTGTATCTGTTTGACTCATTAAAGGAGTTGATTCTCTGGGGTTATAATCTTGAGGCTTTTTTAATAACTCCACATGACTAGTCAACTTTGAAACTTCATGTATTGAAAGTGTCCTTTTACATGTCAGGGAAGTTTGCTTAGGATTGCCAAGTGATTGGTCAAAATAAGTTCCATCCATGCATTGTTCATAATTGGCAACAGGTTGTTCAGAAATTACTACCTCAACTAAATCAGAAAAACTAACAGCTTCCTGTTGTGGAAGCATGGTTATACCGCCTTCTTTTAATTCATTTTCCTGTGAAAAATGGTCTTCTGAAGGTAAAAGCCTTTGAAAATTCCTTTCTTCTGTATTTCTTAGATTTTCTTCAGAGTGGTTTTTGCATTCTGCAGAACATATAGCCATTCCAGATGTTACAGGCTTCTCAGAGACACAGCAATCATCATAACTATCCTTTATAAAGGATAAGAAAGAACTTTCCCATTTATTAAAGGTCTTAATTTTTTTACCTAAGTTGCTATTATCATGAGATTTATAAGGGCTATTCTGTTGTTCTTGGTAACCATGAAGCTGCTGATCTGTAGAAACAAGTGGTAACCTGACTTCTTTATGTAATGAAGGTCCAGAAAAAGAACCAGCTTCAGTTTGGCCAATGTGCTCTAACCCCAAAAACTGCATTTCTTGACCTTCTTGGGTATGTACCTCTTTGGAAACTGAACAAACCTTTACTTTGTTACCTAGTCCATCTTTCAGGCTTGACACAGTTGGGCTGCAAGGTTCATAGCACTCTTCTTGAAGGCCATCAAGGGTTTGAAGAATATGCTGCTGATGAGTAACCAATCTATTTATTTTTCTGGGGGAAGAGACAGTGATTGCCTGTCTTGAAGTGCAGTCTCCATCATCTGATTGAGTCCTTTTATCTTGTGTGTTCTTCCTTCCTTTAACTTTCAAAACATGTGTTTTAGCATCTGTAATGTTACAAAGACTGCCCTTTCTGAGTCCTGTAGACTGTGTTTGGTTAAGAGCTGATTGCTTATGCTTGGATTTACCAAATCTTGTGACTCTCGAACTTTGGGAGTAATGTTCATACACATCTTCGTTTACAAATAAATCCTCTTTGCTTCTTTTGCTGACTTCTACATGTTCTGGCCTCAGTCTGCTGGAATTTTCATTACAAACAAACCCAGTGTGACTTTTAGGACTAAATTTTGGTTTCTATAAGACAAAAATAGATAGTTAACTTTAAGATGCAGGCTTCTATTCAATTTAATCTGGTTCTTTGATTAATCAATTATTGCATTCAATTGCATCATTTTCTCTAATCTAAGGCCTGTTGGAATATATAGAAACTGGCATTTCAAAGTAGTAGACTAAATAAAAGAAAAAATATAATAAGAGTTAGACTCAGCCTATGTATTAATATTTGTTTACTGTACATATTAATTCCTTTTATCAGTATTTTAGCACAACTAATATATAACACTAAATACGATAAAACATTGTATTGTAAGTAACTTGATTTTTCTAGTCTTTTAAACTAAATCAGACCTTTAAAAGGAAGATTTACAAGAATGCTTTAGAAACATTTTCCTCTGCTTAGTGTTATATTAGAATTAGGAGAGTTTCTGTTTTCTAGAACTACAGGTTGAATGAAAAAGGAACTTAATAACTACAGGACAGAAGTACTCCTGTCTGTCTGGAAAATTTCTTGTGGGCTGTGCTGCTAAGATTATAGGAACACTGCTTCTTCTCACTTGTCACAGATGAAGAGTTAAGGCCTACTATGTTAAGTCTGAAGGGGTGGGATGATACCTTTGATTCTTGTATTATGTTCACAGCAGGGGAAATGTGACATGGTCAATAAACCTCAGGAAATGACTACTGATACATCAGGGTGAACAGATACTCTACATTTACTCAACTGCTTCTCAAATTTATAGCTTAGAATGCCCTGATTCTCATGTAATTATTCCAGAGTGTCTTAAAACCACAAATAAAATCACTGCTCCTGACTAGTGCTTCAAATGTCTTTCTTTTCTTTTGGATAATCTATAAAATAGCCACCAGCAGTGCTATCTCTATAGAAATATTTGTTACTAAACATACATTTACCTTGTGTGGACATATGTCCTCTACATCTCCTGGGTCAGTGCCTTTCCTTTGATCTGTAAATGAAAAGAGAAAATGGCTTCTAGTGGTCAGACCCTAAACTTCTAGAGCTCACAAAGTTGGCCAAGAGAAAAACCAAGTGGAACAGGTAAAATTATGCATTTATATTAAAATTGGCACAATGTGTTCATATAATCTATACTTCCATGTTAATTAGAAACCAAATACTATACTGAGAGATAGTGATAATTTTACAGGAAAAGCAAATAGATACCTCAGCAGCATAGCTCTTGCCTGGCAAGCATGAGGTCATGAGTTCTATTCCCAGTACAAAAAACAAAACAAAACAACCAAAACCAACCCCCCCGCGCCAAAACTAACACTAAAAGGTAAGCACTGAACTCAGTATTTTTTATATTCTCTGTGTATATTTATATATGCTTTTTTCATTCAGGAGATTATGCATATTTTCTTATAAAGCAAATTATTTCTTAATTACAAAATTATCTTTCCCTAATATGTCTGATTTACAAGGTACTAGTTTGGAAACTACATGCTTCTCAAAGCCAAATGTATATGTATGGAAAAAGTCAATCATATTATGAATATATAAAGGGGGATAGTTTTTTATTTTAAAGCTTAGGTCGATAATAAAGAAATGTTTTTAGTATATCTCTCTTGCCTCCTTTAAATATTGAAAGTGGAAATTATATTTACCTACATATGCATTTAGCCATAAATGAGTATCTTAGATGTGATACACAAAAATACAAGTTTCCTTAGATATATTACATATTAGATATGTAAAATACTTTAACAAAGATATAGCTGGGAGCATGTTATTTCTTGGGAATAATTTTCACAACTGGAATCAAATTATGACTTGCAACATTTATTTCATTTGGGTGATAAAAGACATATAGAACATTATTCTAACAAACAAAAGGGATAGGAGTACAATCCTTGAAGCCTCATTCCTGCCTTCTAATGTTGATTCATCTGTTTATCAGGTAGTTGACCTTAGGCAAGATTTTTTAATGTCTCTTACTCCATGCAATATCCACAAATAAATGTTAATAACAGTCCCTGGCTTCTACACATGCCAAAATTAAAAAAACCAAATTAATGTAATGAGTTTAGAGGAGCTCCCTGGAAAAGAGAAAACACTCCATTGTCACTACAGTTGGTATTAAGAACATAAAGGACATTGCCTTCTATAAAGTGTGGCTGTTAAACAGCAGAAAAGCAGTATTTTCCAGAAAATACCCTGTCAAGCATAGTACTTAAGAGAATCTGGAAAGAAAAAAGATGTTTATTCCCTCTCAGTTTGAGACTCTCAGTTTGAAATGGTAAGTTCTGGTAAGCAGCTTCATTCTTATTCATTTGTCACTCTGTGCTCCCTGTCGTGTGCCAGGTACATGAGAGGTATTTTATATACGTTAAGTCCAATCCTCACAGGAACAGGCCCACCAATGTGCAGTTGGATGAGTAGACACAAAAAGCCCAAATTTGTTGATGACAAAGTTGGGCATGAGTTTTATTTATTTATTTTTTTTGAGACAAGGTCCAGGCTGGCCTTGAATTCATTATGACGCCTAGGCTGGCCTCAAACTTACGGCAATCCTCCTGCCTCAGCATTCCAAGTGCTGGCACGAAAGGCAAGTACCATTGTGCCTGGCAAAAACTGGGAACATTAAGTTAATCAAAGCTATAAAATCTGTAAGAATAATCACCCATCCAATATCACAGGAGATGTATTTTAATCTAAGTGAGAAAAGCATTAAGTATGTTTTATATGAAGAAAGCTCCTTATATGAAGAAAGCTTCATAAAAAGCTCTTCAGAGCTGGGTGTGGTGGGCATGCCCACAATCCTAGAAGGCTGAGGCCACAGGATCCCCGGAGTCTGAGGCCAGCCTAGGCTTCGTTGAAGTGAGCTCAAGTTCACCCTGAAATGCATAGCAAGACTCTGTCTCATAAATACCAAAGTAAGTAAATAAAATAAAATAAAGTAAAATAAAAAAGCTCTTCAGGGCTGGAGATATAGCTCAGTGGTAGGATGCTGGACCAGTACTTACAAGGCCCTTGGTTCAATCCCCAGTACCTCAAAAAGGGAAAAGACATACTTTAAACAAAATTTTAAGATGAACACAATATGTTAAGTAAACAAGTAATCTTTAAGTAAAACAATTTCACACTTACACTGAAAAGTAGGCTTATAATTAAAGACAAAATCTCAATATTCAAACTTCAGAGATAATTAAACCATCTAGTAAAGCACAATGATGTGACTGTTTAGTAAATTCTCTCACATAAGAAAAGATATCTCAATACGAAAGATTAGGGATTGCAAATTTCCAAAAAGGAAGTTGCCTTGTGTAATAGCTTAAACGTGGCCAACAGTGAACAAGAGATTCTGAAATGGAGAAGGAATCAAAAAGCTGGAGAAAGTACTTTAAGAAGAGTAAAGCAATGGATATCATCACAAAATAATTTAAACAATTAAGCAGACCAAAAAAGCAAAAACCCCCAAAATATAAATTTTTGCCTACAATTGAACGTTTCATTTGCAAATTTTTATACAGTTTAAAATGTAAATATGATTGACTTACTAATTTATTTCAGTGGGCTTTGACAGAGCAGGACTCTGGTATAATCTAGCTCCTATAGAGGGAATTCTCTGTTCCAAACAAAACATATTGCTTATTACTGGTTTTGCATAATCACTGAAAGTTTGGTACAATGGCATGCAGATGAGTGCCAGCCACTCACAGGACTAAAGCCAAAAGATAGCCTGAGCATCAGAGTTTCAGACTAGCCAGGGAAATAGAATAAGATGCCTGTCTTCAAAAACAACAAAAATCAATGAACCTCTCTCTTTCTTACAAAGGTAGGATATTTTGATCTAGGTCTTGCTTTTGAGTCAGTATTATTCAACTAATTACATTTCTTGAGTACATAAACAGTTTATAAAAATAAGTCACTATATATAAAAATGGTCCTGTTTTAGTTTTTTTTGGTTACTGAGACAAAATCCCTGATACCCAAAGGTAAAGAAGGAAAGGTTTATTTCAGTTCACAGTCTATAGAAGTTTCAGTTCACAGCTGGCTGGTTGCAGGATTAGGTGGCATGGCAGTGGGGTAGCACAGAGGACAAATAGTTTGTGACAAGCAGAAGGCAAAAAACAGCGAAGTAGCAAGCAGCAAGTAACAGCAGCCCTTTCTTTTTTTCATTCCAGGGATTGAACTCAGGACCACACACTTGCAAAGCAGGCACTTATGCAACTGAGCTAAATCCCAGCTCTATAGCAACACTTTCTGTTCCTTACCTTTTATCCCCAAGGGCACCCGGGATGACACATCTTAATCCTATCCAGAACTATGCATACCAATCTGAGAACTAATTCAGTTAGACACTCTTGATTCCAGAATAATACACTTAATCCCAGCATTTGGGTCCATCCATCTATGAAAAACCCCACCTAAGACTTTATGAGGCTTGGGGGAGATATCTAGACATGAGCCATAATAGGTCTACTTGGTCATAAAGGAAAACTAGTCTCACTGCCCTATTGTCAGATTGCTATTTTGGCCTAAATTTTCAGTAGCTGCCACAGCCAACAAAAATTGGAAGAACTGTCTGATACTAAATAAAATCTAAGTGGGAAAGGGGTACATTTACATTTTATTGCAAGTGATTTAAATTAAGAAAAGATCTCTCCCAATACAGTTATCAAACAGCTTCTGATGATAATCACTAACCATGAAACATGTTAGCAGTTGTGTCACATATCTTATTGGATTAGAAGAAGCCTGGGTTACATCTTTTTTATGTAGTCTTATAAGGTGAACCAAACAGTCTGCTATCCTTGTTTCTTATTCATGTTGTATTATTAGGCTTTAGCACTACATGGTGTTTGCAAGAACAACCCATGAATGAATGAATGAATGAATGAATGAATGAATGAATGCTCACAGAAAACAGATAAATTTCAGGAGAGGTGGTTCAGTATTTGATGGCATCAGCAACTATTTCAAAGAGAGTACTATGTTATGGTAGCCATTGTTGATTTCCTACTGACTTGAAGTTCTGAATCTCATTCATTATTTAGTTTTGACTGGTTTTACTGTGTTCTGTTTTGTTTGATTTTATTATGTCTGAAGGTATGAGTAGCTATTTTGAAGATAAATAAGAAGCATTAATGGTAGCTATTGTTGATTTCCTATTACTGTGTTTTGAAGTCCTCATTCACTTTCACTGTTTTGTTTTTATTGGCTTTATTCTGTTTTATTTTGTTTGGTTTTATCCTTTTTAAAATAAAAAAACACACGTAGAGAAAAAAAGAAATGGAGGTTATATCTGAGGGAGCTCAGCAGCCAACAGGAACATCGGCAACCTCTCCTCCACACCTGGAAGAGTTCAATGGCTGGCAAGAGCATCGGTGACCCCTCCTTCCACTCAGAGGACTTCAGCAGGCATGGAAGGGTGTATGTGTGTCCTCCCACCATCCGGAGGACCTTGGTTGGTCATTAAGAGTGCAGGTAACTCCTTAATCTACACAGGGGACTTCAGCAGGCCAGCCAGAGCACCAGTGAGGTCTCCACCCATCTGGAAGAAATTGGCTGGGGCTCCAAGACCCCAGCGACACAGTAGGGAACCACCTGGTGCACGTATCACGGACAGGTGGGTTTGGTGGCCTACAGCAGTCTGAAGCCACTGTAACAGTATTAGCTAAGGGATGGTTCACATTAATATTCCTAGGCTAATCAGCCCAGGAAAAGTCCAGGACTCACCCAACTGGACCTGCAGGAGGAATTTAGTGACTGGCCCCTTCCCTACACTGTTGGACCCAACAAGTGGTGAACATCAGTCATATAGTATAGACAATGACTAAGATGTACACAATGGACAGGGGAGTCTAGGGAGATTGAAAAGACTGAAACATGAGACAAGAGGTGAAAATGACAAGATGGAAAAGCAAAATGCAATCTCAGATCTGTATCCCATCTGGAAAAAGTACAGCAGCCATCAACATAGAATAATTTAGAAGGTGCACA